ACCCTGCACCACACAACCACCACGAGCACCGCCTCGACCCCCAAATTCACCGGCCTCACAAACGCCGACGGCCGCGTGACCGCCTGGACACCCAGCACGCCCTTCTCCTCCGCGAGTCTAGAAGAAGTATTTGCGCAAGAGGGTGATCAAAAGTACAGTTTGACATTTGATACTGAGCGCTTCTTTGGGGAGAGGGGGATGAAGACGTTTTTCCCGGAGGTGGAAGTCAAGTTTCTTGTGAGGCAGGAGGCGAAGGGCGAGCATTATCATGTGCCGGTGTTGTTGGGGCCGTTTGGGTATACGACGTATCGGGGGAGTTGAAGAGTTGGATGGATGGATAGGTGGGACGTGGAATGGGAATGGATGTGGATGGAGAGGAGGAATGGGTTGGAAGTCAAGGTAATTACATCTTGACGGTTTGTCAATCTCGAGTCCAGGACATCGGTGTCACTATTCTGTCTTCGAGGTACAGCGGGAACCTGCATTCAGTGTGCTTCCATCTCCCAACGGTTGGGCAGCACAAAGTGCGACAGTGTACATGAGAAGAGATTCGCGTAGAACACGCGCACCAATACTCTGGGTCGGTTCGTCTCACAGTGCGGCTACGACACGGCTGCCTGTGCACTCGATACATGCCAGTGCGTGCTATATCGAGAACACGTTGAAACCCGCAAGGAGTCCAAGCTCCATTGCGACTGTCTACACTCACGTCACTCAAGCACAACGTACAAGTTCAATGATGATGGTGATGTGGTATCAATTCTTCATTCGCACCTATCTCCCCTCTCATCCCAGCCCATCCATATCACCTAGCTTCGGGCGCTCCCTGGCTCGCTCGCTCAGCGCTCGAATACATACATACAGGAATATAAAAACCGTGCGGTGGTCATCGCACCACGTCCGTCAGAGCTAGACGTTAAGTTGAAAAGATCAGAATCAGATCGTGACAGAATAAAAGATGCTTGGATATCAATGAACGAAAAACACGCAAAGTGTGACTAATGCATCCGAGATGCCAGATCTCGGCCGTCGTAATGCCTAGATCCAGAGAAGAGAAGTGGAAAGGAAATGGTGTGGGTGCCGCAGTGGCTGGATATCTTCGCAGATTCAACATAGATGGTGCCCAGTTCGCTGAAGCTGGGTAAAGTAGACGCCTTTGAAATCAGCGACATAGAATTCATCATTTACAACCCGCTCTTGTGGTTGTCGGAGAACGGGCTCTGGTCCCTTCTGTTGGAGACTGTGCTGCCGCGTTTTGACGCTGATGACTCCTCTACAATGGGCGTCATCGGGGTGCGAAGGCCAAGCGAGGTATCGTATGAAGTGATGCGGGAGGACATAATGGGTCGTGGTGGTTCGAGTGACGAGCTATCTGCGAAAGGACTTCGGTCCATGGTAGGCGTGCTGTCCCGGGAATCAGGGTATGGTGAGCCGCGGTCGCTGCCCGAGTTGCTACGAAGTAGTGTTTGTCGTGCGCGTACGTGGTCATCGTCGGATTCGTCCCCAGAGTCGGATGCTAAGCTTCCTCTTCGTGCGCGCGAGTGGGCAGCACCGTCATCTGATGAGGCGGTAGAGTAGCCGGTGAGTGGGCGCGCAGAGGGTACGAGGACTTCGGGTGTGTTGACGAGTGTTCGGTCTGCGCTTGTTGTTGAGTTTGAGGAGCTCTTGGGTGGTGTCATGTCGGAGCTCTTCTTCTTGGTGATGTTGAGGGCACGGACAGGGCCAAGTTGTGCGGTGCTTCGGACGGAGTTTGCGGGGCTGATGCCAGGCATGTGAATGCGGATGGGCTTCACAGTGTGCTTGGGGTCGATTGAAGGTACAGGTGGTGTCTCCATGCTGGGTGTCTCTGCCGGGCTGTTGGTCGCAGTCGACTTGACGCTGACGACAGCTGCCTTTCCGCGTACGATGGTCTGAGCCGGGAGAGGAGATACAATGGCGTTTTGTCGGTACATGGTCGATGCAACGCTGCCTCGTTGGGCGAGACTGGGGGCGATGCTTGTGCGGCCGGCGGTGCTGGAAGACATCATGGAGTCGCGGAAGTCGGGAACGAAGAAGTGCTGGTCGGCGGTCGAGTACGGGGTGCTCATGCCAGACGAAGGCGACATGGCAGGAATCGGAGGCACGGGAGGGACAAGCAGGTCGGGCGATCCGGGGCCTGAGCGGTTCGTGACGCCGGGGATGTAGGCGATCTGGATGATGTTGGAGGCGCGGGTGAGGACGGACGAGGCCATCGAAGCAACGGTATGTGTGGACGCGCGCGCGCTCCGCCGTGACTGGAAGTCGTTCTCGGCCTTCTCTTGCGCCGTCATGTCGACATCCTGCCATTCGCTCCTCTGGGATATGGGCCGCCTCTTTCCCTTTAGGCAGTACTTCCATACGATGAATGTGAGAATGGCGATGAAGGCGATTCCGCCGATGACTCCTCCGGCAATGGCACCGACGTTTGGCTTGCTAGCGGGAGCATCGCCTGCCGTGGGGTCGGGCTGGCAGCCGACGGAGGCGCACTGGTCGCATGTTCGTGAGTTCTGGACGCAGACCTCGTTGGATCTGCATTTGATGCCCTCGCAGGACAGTGCAGCCGTTTCACATGCGACGCATCGCTTTTCTATCCGGAAGACATTCTCAGCGTCTGGCATCGTGTTAGCGGGCTGTCATGTGCAGTCACGTCGCTGCAGGGTCGCAGATCGTACCTCTGAGCGCACGGATGGACATGGCAACGGTGGATGGGGTGGTTAGGGGATCAGCAACCCCAGGTGAAGAAGCAACGAGGGCCAGCTGTCAGCTATGGGCGCACCCGGTGGTGTGCGACGCGGATAGTGAGGGAGTCGTACGGCGGAAATAGCACGGTGCGACGGTTTTGAGCGGTTCGAGGTGCCTGGTGACGGGGACAAAGAAAGCAGGCGAGAATAGGCGGCGCTACGGAGAATGGGAAGGTGCGAAGGGTGGCGGGCGAAATCAAGTAGGGCGGCGCGAAGGGTGGTAACGAGTGACTGGGAACAAAGGCGACGCAACAAAGAAGCAAAAGCGGTGATGCGGCGCAAAGGTGGTGAGGAACCTGAGGACGAGGGCGCAGTAGCGTGGTCAGATGGGCGTGAGCGTGGCTCTTGGGTGTTGGGGCACCGGCTGGGGTGGGCCCGGGCCTGGCTCGCTGAGTAGGCCGCGCGTGTTTCGTCCCTGCAAGCTGGGGCCTGAGGGTGAGGTGTGCCGACGGGCGACAATGTCGATGGGCACGCGAAAATGTCCGAAACGCTCTTGTTTTTTGTCGCTGCCTCAGAGCTGCGATCGTCGTGCACTCGACCTGGCCGTTGCGGAGGGGGAGACAGAGGTGCTGCTCTCTTTGAAGCACCTGACTGGGGACCCAAGCCACGGCCGTTCTGGGCCAAGCGGCTCTCGTGTGCATAACCTTAATCTATTTATTGCAGCCTCAACCGGGCGACCGAACGCCTCCAACTGCCTCACCACCAGCGCCCATATCACGGCCTCGCCCGGCCTCATCTATTCACATTCCGCTCATCGCTTTCTTTCATCTGGTCTTGCACGCCGCTGCACAGATTTGCATTCATCTGTTGCCGGCGCTGACCGGGACTCGCTGACCTCAGGTACGGGATCCCAGCCGCTAGCAGAGCCTCCCGCACCGTCATTGGCTCTTCGTTCTTGGGTAAATAGTCAATTGCGCGTCTAGATTCATCTCTCCGCAGCGGCCAATATATCGAGCATCCACCTTATCTCCCACCACGTGCAGCCACCTTCACCCATCATACTACTGGATACTACTCCCAACTGCTTACCCATTCACGGCGACACCTCCAACTCCGCGCAAGCCACTTCAAGCCTCAGGCTACATGTATCCGTTTCCTCTCACAGAAACATGTCAGCCAAGCTCCACGCATCTGCAACACTCCTCTGGTCCAGCACCTGCCAGGTCCAACACAGCCGCAGGTATCGCACCAGCACGACTGCTGCCCGCCTGATGTGCCAGGCACACTGGCTGCCCTACTAACATGCATGCGAAACACGACGAACCACGGCCGACCATATTTACCCTTTTCTGTGGGGTTAACCCGCATCCGCCCTTTCATTTCCCCAACCCAGCCACTCACAACAGGGCCTGTGAAACTTTTGTACCACTATCCGCTGTTATCGCGATGGGTGTATTATGGGGTCTCCCTTGCGCTACCCATCGCTGATTATCTCCCGCTGCTGATCGAAAAGTCGAGACCGTGGCTTGGTGACACTGCGCACTCACTGGCAGGTTTGCCGTTGCTGACATCCGAGATTTGCCAGACTGTGATATAGGTGTCGAATAATAACATTCGCAAGAAGCAATCACTACATCAATCTCTCAACCCCTAATCAGGCCTTGTGTTGTTCAACGTCGCTAGTGACCACGTATCCTGGGCCGTCTTCTCGTTGATAATCTCGCAGTATAGCGGATATTCTTTTTGTCTTACTTCACTCTCCAACAACCGCATAACCTCGGCTGAAGCTCCGCTCTCGGGTGACATCTTGCAGTGTAGCAGAAGTTACTTTTCGGACTACTCCATGCTTCACAGGGTCCTGAGCTCAACGGACTTCCGATCTGACCTACCCTTGATGACGGACGAGGCGGTCCGCCACCGGGTACACTTGAAACGGCTATCTACCCGTGGTCAAAGACTATCACGTCCACTCGCTGTCAGAGGGGTGTGACCCCTCCGGTGGTCACTGTTGCCACTGTTCTTCTGTTGCCCTGTGAGCATCGGGTACGATGTCATCTCTGTCTATAGTTTCGTTGTCCGACGGAGTGATGTATCTTTACCATCTAGCAGCAAGCCTTGCGTTTCAGTGTTAATGATAGACCCCGTGGGTGAACTGTCGTAGCCGGAAATAAGCTGCACGAATGATTCAAAGTGTTGGCTAAGCACCTACGCTCTGCAAGAAACACATACACCCCGAAAGATGTTTTGTAGCGCGGACGGAGGTTATATAGTTCATGGTGTACTTTCCTCCATAACTGCATCTTACACGCTCAAGCCAACAAACGGATATGCAAGAGCGCCTAGGCTCCACGACGAATCTGCTGCTTTCGTCTTGTACTGATCCAGAGCATCAGACAAATGTCCCCGCCAATCGTTCCCAGCAAAGCTTTGCACCTGCAGCTCATTCATCCATACCCTGCGCCAAGAATCGGAAATCAAGCAGCCCAAATGCAAATGATCCAAACGCGGCAGCACGTCCTCCTCTTTAGCAATGCGGCTCAGAATGTGCCACCACGTGTTGTAGGGATCTGAATTCATGATGTACCTCAGACTCAACGATCTCAGCGTATCCTCTGCCGGCTGCAGGAGTGTAATGAGGTCGTCGCCGTTCATGATCCGCATAACGGAAAGTTTACACTCCTCCAACCTTTCAAAGTGGCAATGCCGTGCCATTTCCCCAAACACATCCATTTCCAAGATGCTGTAACAGCTCAGTTCCAAGTTCCTTACATTCCGTGCTTTAGCCAGGAAGCGCACGACGAACGGCGCGCGTGTAGTGTCTATCTCGAAGCCTGAGACTGAAGAGCGTAGATCCCGGAGATGCAATTGCAGTGTATCCAGCTTCTCAAAGGCATGGTCGAAATAACGGAGCGAAGGAGCCAGCGTTTCCAACTTGCCGATACTGACTGCGCCGAAGGCTTTGTCGCTGTCTACCTGAATACGTCGAACTTGCACTTTCGATTCCGCAATCGCAGACATGGTGGAGACAAATGGCCGCGACATTTCCTGCTGGCTGCTCTTGCAATACCGAGTACTGAACTTCGCATATTTCTCGTGCATGCCATCGTACGCAAACGTGATGGAGTCCAGATGTTCCAGTCTCTCGAAGATAGTCACCAGGCTTTTGCGATCGAATCTTGTTTCGCTGAAGAACTTGGCTATTTCCTCTGATACTGTGTAATCGGCAATGTATTGTACTTCGAGATCGCGGATAGCTGATGCGGTGCCATATGGCGTAGCAATTCCCTGTGTTTCTGCGATCCGTATTTGTGCTTGCCAAAGATGGATTGAGTGGCGAGGTGTGGCGTCGACAATGAGGTCCTGGATGGCGTTGCCGAAATGTGGGTGCGACGTTACCTCTATCAATCTGGAAAAGGCGGATTGGGTCCATTGGAGGGTGTGTTGACGAAAGAAACGGTCTTTGAATACATGTGACGTTTGTTCGCTCAGAGATGGGCTGGTGAGGCGGAGTGAACGGCTGTTTGGGAGGTCCAGGTAGGTGGTTATGTGCTCGATTAATTCCGTGGGTAGGCTGGATAATGCCATTGGTCTCAGTGCTATTTCCGACGATGATCTATGGAACGGATGTTGATAAGATGGACGAGGCAGTCACCAAACGTCTGTGGAGGCAAAGAGGCGGGGAACCTGCTGCATGTTGACGATGCACTAACTGTTTCGGGTATCGTACATGCATTATTCCGGAAGGCACGATGTACTGCGTATGCTTAATCTCATTCGTCTTGTATTTTGTTCTGCCGAGTACCACTAGTATCGACTTTCCACAAAAATGTTTCCTTGCGACCGTATTGATATGTACAGTTGTGGCAGTAAAGATAGCTCTTTCAGGCCTGCAGGTATCCACTGCAAAGACGAGAAGAAGAGGATTGGTAATGCCTTGTAAACTCCATCCATTGCTCCTATTCCCAACCTCTAATCGCTATCGCTATCACTATCGCTGCCGCTGTCACTGTCGCTGCTTCCCGATTCGCTGCTAGAGCTGCTGGCGCTCTTGGCAGAAGTCGCGTTGTCTGATCCTGAATCCGCGTCGCTGCTGTCATCAGAGTCGGAGTCTGAACTGTCCGAGTCGCTGCTGTCCGAACTGCTCTCATCACTCGACACTTCTGTCCTGCGCTTCCGCTTTCGTGCAACGGGCTTCGCTGGCTCCACATGCTCCATTAAAGGGTTGATGCTAGATCTTGGAGCCACTGCTGGCAGTACGGGCTCAGCGCGACCCAAAGCATTCAGGAGCGCCTCAGCTCGTCGCCTTTGCAGACGTCGAATGAACCCGGCACTGTACTCGTGTTCTCCAAGGTCTGTGATGTCGCCTTCCGTCTTTCTCCTCTTCCGCTCCCTGAGGATGCGCTCCTGTTCTGCGTCCTCCCGCGCGACCTTCTTGGCTTCCGCGTCATTCATCTGGGCGTCTTGCTCGTCGATGTCTTTTACGGCTGCCCTGCAACGTTCGCGCAGACGTTCGATCACACCAGCTCCTTGAAGACCAGCGATGTATTCAACAAGGGCCTCAGAATGCTCGTTAGGGATGCGAAAGATGTTTAGGGCGTTGTCAACAACGTCGTTTTGTTTCGCTTTGTTGAACTTCCAGTTGTCGCGATCGTAGTGGTACTGCCTGAGATAGGCAATGTATACCGAAGGATCCTTCTTCTTTCCCTTTGGCGCAACTGCAGATGCAGGTGTAGATTCAGCCTCGGCAGGCTCCGACGTGGGCTTCGGTGCTGCTTGTGGTGTCGGCTTCGGCTGCGGTTTCGACTTCTCTTCCGGTTCAGCGTCTGGGGTCTTCGAACTGGTGGCTTCTTTGGGTTGTGCTTCTGTCGCTGGTTTCTTGTCTAGTTGTCCGTTCCTCCTCGCCGCCTTCTGCTCCTCGGCAATGATTGAATGGAGTACAAAGTTGGAGACTTCCGGTGGCTGGGAGACGGGTCCAGTCCCCTTCTGTTCGGCAACCCAGGCTTTGAAATAATCCTGGCCCGTATTCCCGTCGGACCGTTTGGTATCGGGGGTAAATGCGACTGACTTTCTCTGGTCTGCCAGTGGGGGTGAGTCAGAGGGCTCCTTGCGGCTGGATTTCTTGGGGAGCTTTTGTGGTGTTGTGGCGGCGGCTGGGCTGGCGTGGTCCAACTCAGTGGACGCAAGTAAAGTTGGACGCGCTGTCGCGTACGCTGGCTCGTGATGTGGGTGAGTGGAGCTTGGCTTGGGACGCGTCTTAGGCTGAGAATCACCCTCTTTTTCTTCTCTCCGGCGTTTGGCTGGCTTCTCTTTCTTCTTTCGATAATTCGGATCTCCTCCTTTGAAAGGCTTGTTTGTTGCTGGAGTCTGTTCCGTGGGAGCCTCTGGCTCGACATCGAAAGTCACGACTGGAAATTCGTTACTAGTAGCCCCTTTGACGTCGCTTTCCGTGGCCTCAACCCGACTCTTCTTGGCATCCTGTTGATGATCCTCAGCTGCTTCATGTTGGTGTTTCCGTTTGCCAAGCTTTGAGTCTTTGCCATTTACGGCACGCTTCTGGGATGGCAAAGATTGCGCACGATAGTCTGTAGTTGTTTGGTGGTTGATCGATGGTGGTTTATGTTCAGGTACGGCGTCTCCGGACTCGGCCTCTTCTTCGTGCCTCAGTTTGAGCCCTAGCCGTCTCCAAGCCGGGATGTAGCCCGGTTCAAACACATTAGCCATGATCAGATGCGGAATATGGATATCTGTTTCAAAGAGTTAAATCGCATCGCGCATGACCGAATCAGCTGGAGCAGAGCGTCCTGTCAGGAGGGAAAGGTCGAATGAGAGGTCGCAGGCAGAGAATTTCGGGGCTGATCTAGGAAGGCACAGACCAAGTGACGGCGATCCCAGAGCTCCAGGCCACAAGCAACGCGTGTAGTGACAGCCAACGCCGACAACCTCGCCCTCAACCCCCAGACCGCGCCCACCGAGCTTACGCAAATCTCCGGAACCCGTTGCTGCAGCTGAAGCCGCCAATTACAAATACACAGATCCACCACCGCCCATCATGTCTGGTGCGTCGAAGCTATAACCTGGTGTTTGCCGCATACATGCTAACAGGAACCTCGTCATACAGGAAGCGCAGGCTACGACAGACACATTACCATCTTCTCGGACCAAGGTCGTCTCTACCAAGTCGGTACGCATCCCGAGCTATCTACGCCGCCCGAGCAACGATAGACCCCGCGACTTCCTGGAGGAGCCACGACTAACACGACATGCAGAGTATGCATTCAAGGCGATTACGGCAGCAAACATCACATCATTGGGCGTGCGGGGCAAGGACTGCGCAGTAGTCATCTCGCAGAAGAAGGTGCCTGTACGTATGGCAAGCACGACGGGCCGCACGCGGTACTGACGTATGTACACAGGACAAGCTCATCGACCCCTCCTCCGTATCCCACATCTTCCGCCTGTCGCCCTCAGTCGGCTGTGTCATGACCGGATCCATCGCCGATGCGAGAGCCTCCGTGAGCAGAGCGCGGGGTGAGGCTGCCGAGTTCCGCTACAAGTACGGCTACGAGATGCCCTGCGACGTACTGGCAAAGAGGATAGCCAACATCAGCCAGGTCTACACACAACGCGTAAGTGGCGATGCGTGAAGAAGGTGCGACTGGATGCTAAGCAACGTGCAGGCTTATATGCGACCGCTCGGTGTGGCCACCACCCTCGTCTCCCTCGACTCTGAATTCGGCCCCCAACTCTACAAGTGCGACCCAGCTGGCTACTACGTAGGCTACAAGGCAACAGCTTCTGGGCCCAAGACGCAGGAGGCGCTCAACTTCCTCGAGAAGAAGCTGAAGAACAAGGAGCATGCTGAGGGCAACTGGGAGGAGGTTGTCGAGCTGGCCATCACCGCCTTGAGCACCGTCCTGTCGGTCGACTTCAAGAAGAACGAATTGGAGATTGGCATCGTAGGAGGCCCCAAGACCAACGGCCAAGAGGGCACAGACTCCGCCTTCAGGGCGCTCACCGAAGAGGAAATCGATGAACGACTACAGTCAATCGCAGACAAGGACTAAGGAAGGAGCACTGGCCGTGGAGCTGGAACGGCATGTGGGTCGCTGAGGTATGACTGAGACGAACCATGACGATAACAACAGATAGCATGATACGACCTCTCAGACGTCAAAAGTGCTCCAGCAGCACCATGAATGAAGACGTTAGACTGTATTCTCCTGCATAAGCGCAACTGTGACGAAGCGGCCGGTCCTGGGACAAGAAACATGTGGTGAGTTCAGCCATGACTCCACTTGGTCTCGCCCATGACACCAGATTCCCATACTGCCTCAGCTGCAACGGTCTGCAATAACTCGCGAACTACTCCGTCGACGTCATGCTACTGGCTCCTAGTCGTCGGAGTGCCCAGCACAGCCGTCGCGTGGCTGACCGTGGCTTACCGTGGCTTTCGCGAGCGTTGCTCGACTTTGCGCGCACGTCAACCCTACGCCGGCACGCACTTCCAGGTTCATACTCAGCGGACAACCACGCGAAGACCGCACCACTAATTATAAGCATCGTCCAATCAGAGTGGATGCTGCGGCTGAGATACACAGCTTGGCCTTGATGCCTTACCCGATGCAGCCTACCAGGGCTGGCTCGCTAAACTACTTCGCTCGATGTGGCGCTTTTAGGGCTGCTGAAAAGGTCCAGCACAACGCTGCTCATTCCAGCTGGCGAGCAAACGTAGCGGAGCATCGAAAAATAGGCATGGTTAGATGCAGACGCACGGTTCCTGCATGTTTGGCCATCCCGTTGTAGTGGAGACTGGTACTGACGGTGATGCTACTATGCCGATTCTCACACCTCCTCACAAGCCTCGAGCTGCCGAATGCAAGGTCCTGAGTGGTCTACCAGGCCAGGGCCCTAGTACAGCTGGGAGCTACTCACGTTCCCAAAGTGGGACGTCCTTATGGTAGCGGCGGGAGCAGCCCTGCAGGCATGGCTATTCCTACCTTACGCTATCGAGAGCCTTGCTCAGCAACACTACCACCACCATCATCATCATCGTGAATACATGTCTCCTACATGCTATTTAATACTCGCCACGCCGCCTCAATTCACCCATCCACGCCAGCAAGCCTAGTTCTCTTCTACTCTCTACGACTTACTTCTTATTAGCCACTTCATCAATCTGTCGCCAGTCGATCTTCATTTCAAAAAAGCCGAAGCTACCATGTCTGACGGTCGTAAGGCTCTTCCTACTCCAGCAAAATAATTCCATCCTCCCAACTTCCCCAATTCATTCGACTATTCAAAACACAAAGGCTGACTTACATCTAGTCAACGATGCCCGTGCCATGCGCATTGCAGAGATCATGACCGACTTCCGCAACCTACAACACTACCTCGTCCAGTTACGCGCCACTCCCACAGCAGAGGAGTATTACCTTGAGGGTTACTCTCTGCTACGACAATGCAGCAGCGAGGCACAGGCCATCCTACAGACACCCTTTTCTGGCAGTGCCAGCACGGGTTCAGGGGATCCGGAGGCAGAGAAGCAGCAACTGAGAAAGTAGGTCACTTCCTCCTGCCTGTTTCCCTCATGGGGGACTGCAGAAGCTAGCACGAAAGAGGAGTCTGACGAGTTCTAGCATCATCACAGACGCCGCTGTGCGACGCTTCCAATGCCAACGCGCTTACCTACGAGCCCACGCTGGCCTGCGGTGGATGAACGCCCGCAACAGCGTCTTGCGTGGGCAGAGGCCCAACGCGAGCCATCTGGGTGCACTCCAGCAGGCTGACGCTACAATGAGAAATGTACGTTGAATGTGTCATTCCCCTATTCGACTTTGAGATTGGAGGAGAGGCATTCAGAAGCGACGAGAAGCACCAGGCTGGAAAGATTGCATGCTAGCTCACTAAGTTCTAAACTGACTACTGGACTACAGGAACTCCTCGCAATCAGCGATGCCTATGTCGAGAACACGCTGCGCGCCGCAGACGCCTCGCAGGGCAAGTGGCTGAATGAAGATCCTTCGCTGGCACAGATCCAACAGATACTTATGACTCGACGATGAGCATTTACGATCCAACAACACTGCCCGGAGCTCTCCATCAGATTGAGAATATTACCGCCATCCTACGAATACGCCCACTCCCACATCATACTGCAGCGGATTCGGCCCTCCGCTCTCTATCGTTTCTCCATACACGTCTCCTCCGGCGAATCTCTATTGGCAAGACATGCCTACACATCGCGATTCATTGTTCAGGCTTTTCGAATACTACTCTTCTAGTGCTGGTCACACGGTTTGGGAAGCACATACACTTTGTTTCTTTGGGGTAGCCCTGGATGATAGCCTACTTTAGCGTTGGCGTTGGCGTCTTGAATCATTTTGGTGCATGGGACATGTTCCGCTCTTTTGGAAGGCACAAGCGACCGGTCGGCAGATATGCATGCGAAGTGATGGCAAAGCATGGCAAAAGCACAGGACAGTTCGGGTAAAGTTGACCCAGGAACAGTTGTTCGGGCGTTTCCTCTATTCTTCTTCTCGCTTTTTTTCTCGTCAATTACGGCTTTTAGGCTGTATCCCCATGTCCCAGTTCCTTCTTGAGTTGTTTCCTTTCTTTCGTCTTCTTTTCTTCTTTTCATGTCAATAATTCTAGTCATTATTGGTATTTCAAGCACGTCAACACCATCTCATGAACCCGAAGACGCACACAAGCCTGTTACTAACCAACCCCTCATCAAGAAACGAAGGTGAAACCTGGAGCGATATGGGTACTTCGAACTAACCGCCTTTAGCGTTGTGCACTAGCTTTCAGCTTGACAGGCACATGGCCAGATCGAACTCGCACCGTCGAATCCCACACTGCGGAGCCGACCGATTATGCACGTGGATGCAATGCAGCAGAGCTTTTACCAAACGGTTGTTCGTAAGGCAGATACCTTAGCGTGGCATCAATGCTATGGACGTCATACACTAGGCAGGGCTGCGTGAGGAGTAATGGACGCTCTAGCAGTAGCATGGGCATGTGCCAATGTGCTTCCGAACGAATCACCATGCAACGCAGCCTCCCCAAGACACACCCCCATGGCGTAGAGTTAGCAACTGGAAACTTTCCATCGATCGCACAACACGGCCACCATCACACAATATCACACGCAACCATGCATCGCCCAGCATCAAATCCCACATTCCCCGTTCCATGCATTCGGCATCGCCTTAACAGACCAGGATTACATCCCAGGGCAGCTCGCTTACGCCATCTTCCCGCGCACTTGGCCTGATTGCGGCCTAGGGGATCGTCGGAGTTCCCGAAGTTGGCGGGCTTAGCGTGCGAAGCCACGCTTCGGTACCAGTACCGGACGAATATCATGTGCGATGAGTGTCGTGGGATCGATGCACGATGGCTAGTCGCAGATGGCTACAGGGCGGGGTGCAGTGCAGAAGGTGTTGACGGGAGGTAGGGCGAGGTTCTGGCGCGGTCGCAGAAGGTGGCGTGGAATGCTGGGTGCGATGGGTCGCGATTGGGTAGGCTTGGGGGTTTGCATTTGATGATGACGCGTCATTTTTTATCTTACTGCTTCGTCGTATGAGATGCTCTCAGCAGTCAGAGCAATTATTGTGGGCTTCTGCCTGGATTTTTCATGAGTTGCGTAGGCGACAAACGTATAGCCTGGGGCATACACGAAGAAGAGAATGCGTCGTCGATTGAGAATAGGGCCCTGATCCTGCTTCAGGCTGGTTGTTGAAGTCGTGCTTTGTTCAGTGAAACAATCGTGACAGCTTCGAGGTAGCCCATGGTCAGCACGAAAGTCTAAGACAACAACAGCATAGCCGTAAAAGGTGTAGACGCTGCTGTGGCATTGCGTAGTGCGCCTTTGACTAGGATTTCCGTTGTCTTATCTAGAGATGTACTAAGAGCGTCGCGTGATCAAAGCCAATTACATGTAATATACTCGCTTCCTCTTGCTAAGACTGTTAATGCTCTAACACAGAATGGTAGTTCTATGTGCCTTCTTACTTTGTCTTTATAAACGCCTAATCTTCCTTTTTATTAATATGCTAGCTTCTTAAGAGAGTCTTATATGCAAGCGCTATTCCGCATTCCTTACTATATTATCTGAATTAGAGCGACGACCGTAACACAACCTGGCAATAGAAAACGACTACGCAAAACAAGCGACGACGCTTATTAACCGTGCGCTCCGTCTCATGCACCTACTCCTAAATCACCATGCCGCTCTGCAATCGTTCAGCAACTCCCTCAGCGAAATGCTGGAGATCGCTACAACTACCCTCAATCAGCTCCAGCAGACAGCTGGGCCCAGCTCGACTCTTAAGGAAACACCAAGGCCCCCCACAAACGCGACATCCTCTGTTCCTCCACAGCCACACAATGAAACACTTAAGCCCATTGAGCAGGACAACTCGACATTCGATAACAAGTTGGCGAAATTCGCATACCGACTAAACGACAAATTCCCGAAAGTCACTGAACAACAGCTTCTGGAAGCCCTGGGCAAGCTGCAAGCCCGGGAGATCGACCACGTCGTCGTCATGCTCGTGTGGATGGCCAAGGGTTCACAACACGGCTCTAGCTACGACGATGTCATTGGCACCGAACAAGATCCGATGATGAGAGCTTCGAAAGACGCCGACTTTGATGTAAAGCAGTACGTAATGAGCCGCGAAGACTACGGTTGAGGCAACAGAGCTGTGTAACGGGTTCTAGCGGGGTGTGGTATCGACATTAGGGCCAAAAAGACTCCGTGACGGCTTGAGAGAGGGTGCGCGAGAAAGACAAGTCTTCCTCCACTAACGATAAACGAATACTAGGCCACCCGAGAGGGCTACGTGTTTTCCAGACCTAGCTGTAAAGCCTCAACAGCGCTACATGTATCCTCCCTTCCCCTCTAAGTCTCCCAGAATGCTCTATTGATTACGGCATATACACTCCGGGAGCCTCAATCAAGGTCACGTCAAACCCTCTTTTGTGTCTTGGCCTCATCATGGCTCCCGAACTCCGTTCCCTCGGTTGATCAAAGTGACTCCGTGTACACTGCGATACTGTAAGGTGCCAGTCTCAATAAGACAGACCCTAGGCAAGACAACCCCAGGGCCGCTGGTCAAACCCTCCAAGTTCGGCTGTGACAGCAAGGCTGTCAACACCATTCACTGCTTCACGGCTATTCTCAAGGAGAACCAACACTACACTAACCCGAACTGTGAGGGGTCACATGTACCTCCCATCAGGGAAGTGTCCGACTTTATTCTTAGCCTCGAAACAGAGGATCACTACCAGAATAGTTACGTCGATGACTTGAACCGCACGTTTTTTTTCAACGTCCTCAAGGTCTACTTCAGGAAGCATTTCCGCCACAACACGTTGCCGGTGATCACTCGACCCCGGAGCGGCAAGCAGCTCAACGCCTACCCACGAGATCTACAACACCGCTTCCGTGTGAAGTGTACCGTCCCGATCAACATGTACGAAGGAAACATCATCAAGGACATGCTGGCGGAAACCGAGTGGCTGAAGCAGATTGAGAATAAGCTGCCACCGCAACCCGACCTTGCCCCCGTGCGTCGCTAGCAGTCAACCTGCCGACTACGTCGACAACTGCTCCGACCTTTAGCGCATTAAGTCAAACGCATGCGTATCGACTACAGGAAAGCATGGGCAGCATGTATACAGCACCCTTACTAACTCTGGGAGTATTCGTGTATCTGTAACACCCTTGAGGTTACCCAGCTTGGTGGCTAGGAGCAGTCAGTCCAAGCTTCTATTAACCGCCCTCGACATTATAAACAACCCTGGAGGATACATAGAGCCTAACCGAGGTCACAAAGAGTCTTCGTCAGAGACTGGAGAAGATATAGGTTAGTATCGCATGCGGGTGTCGCCACATAACCTACCCGGGGAGTATTCAGTGTTGGTTAACTCATCGCCATGCTTCCGCCAGACTTCAAGCGGAGGAACCCGCTCAGGGTGCGACCTTTCCAAGACTTCGATGACGCAGCCCCACCACCATCCAATGCCCGAAACAGGCTCCTGAACATGGTCCATGAGACTGGAGGCTTTAACCCAACTTGGAGGAGAAAGAAGGGTGAGGAATACATCGCCCCTAAAGAAGATGACGAACAGGAGCCTTCGAAGAGGAAGCGCAAGAACAAGAACAAGAAGACGAAGGAGGCAAAGGACGTGAGTCCCGCACTTCTGAAAATTCAGTATGACTTGCTGTGGAGTCTGATACAGGAAGGGCTTCGGGTTGGATCAGATGATCACACAACGGAGTCGGGGATGGATTTTGCAACACCATCGGAGCTTACCAATGCGAAAGAGCCCATCGTTCTCGACCCACATCAACGCCATGCTATCCATAGGGCCCTCGAGAGATTGCAGGCAGGCCATCATGAACCATTGTGGCATACGGCATGGGTATTGGCAAGACGCTGGTAGCCGTAGGATTGTACGCCGTCTTGAAGCAAGACTTCGCCATGCGTGGGCTTGATTAGCCCTTGCTTGACAAGACGACTTTGGACGAAGGGCATGATGCGCATGAGTTCGACCCCAAGATGAGCATACAGGGAGGATTCCTGATCGTTGTTCCAATCGATCTCTTTTCCCTATGGGAGAAGGAACTCCAGATGCACTTGGAAAACCCTCCAAGTGTCATTGTATACCATGGACACCAGTCGTGGTACCACTCCACTGCGCATACTGCAGACGAGCTTGCCGCAGTTGATGTGGTAATAACATCCTATGAGACGTTACGGTCAGATTACGAAGATGCCATGGCCGCTGCAGCGTCGCACGAAGACTTCTTCAAGACACCGGTTCACGCACGTTCCCCCACCATGGTCATATACTGGAGGGGCCAAATCTTGGACGAGGCACATGAGATCGCAAACGACAAGACTGGTGTCAACAAGGCTGTAAATCGCGTTCGAGCGTTGATGCGTCTGCCACTTACGGGTACGCCATTCCTCAACGATTACACAGATATCCATTCCCAGCTGTCGCTGATCAAGCTCGCGCCCTGCGAAGATCCGGAATTTTTCGCTTCTCATTTCCTCTTACGTCCTGGGGCCAAACAGTGCGTATACTGCATGTTGTCAGTCGAACTCAACGGCGTGCTCTCTCTAGTACTTCAGTCATGCTCTCTCCAGCTAGATCGTGGAGACGATTTTGATGGCGGGAGGGTTGATTCCGAGATCGATGTGGAATACATTCGACATGATCACGATTTGGAAAGCTGGGAGCGAGACGCGCAAGTGAACGTTAAACAGCCGTGGCTTGGGACCTACAAGCCAGGCAAGGGTGAAGCGGCAATAGCGGCGAAGATGTTCTCAAGCTCATCATCTTCGCCAGAGTGGCGGCTGTGCACCCCGAATGTGCTGATGCGGGTCACGAGAGAACGGAATTGTCAGAATCGATGTTCGGGAGTTGATGGTGATGCATGTGAATACTTTCTTCCAGGTGAGATCGGACCCTCCAGGCGGACCAGTGCGGCAATGACGTCATAGCGAGCGGACCTTGCGACGCGTTCGTTTTGATCATGTATTCTCTCCAACTCTACCTAAGTATCTTACAGTTCAGGTTTTGTTCAAACAGCCATTTCTCAACATCCTCAATCACCCCCCATGCTCTACTGACATATGTAGTCGATCGCTGTGCTCAGCTTGACTTGCCAACAGCTCTTATCCTACCGCCCCAAAACCACAGCACTGCACATGCTGGTAATCCCAAACCAATCGAGGCGAAACCCAACGCGCTATTACCCCAACCATATCCCAGACTTTTGTACATGTCGGGCGCAAAAATCGGAAAGACAAATGCGAGGCCATACGAAACCGAGCGAATTGCTGCACCGGAGGAAGCTGCAAACTGGCCAAACTCCTCAATCTGGTATGCGATGCTTGCTTGGTTCACGATGAAGCTACCCAGCGTGAAGATAACAACACCGAAATCGACCATCACCCAGTGGAGTGTGCGCTCGGCCGACCACCCATACCAGAAGAGACCGGTTGGCATGATGATCATTCCTGGAACCATGTAGGGGATGCGAAACTCAGGGACGCCTTTTCCATCAGTCCGTTTAGCTTGTTTTCGATACGACCAGTCCATGATGCGGCCGCCCAGTTGACCACATAGGGTCGAGCCTATTGCAACCGAGAGATAATGTAAGCTGCCGACAAGCTCAGATTGACCGTATTTGTCGATCCACAGCGACGCGTAAGTAGCGAGCATAAGTGTATAGACGGCAAAAGACAACGTCGCGGTCAGTGAGATGAGCCAGGTAATAGGCCTCGTAATAAAGATGCGAATTGGACGCAGAAGGTTCTGCGCAATGCGAGCACGCTCAGCTTTGGTGGTCAGGACGTTACCACTCTCGGCTAAGGCTTTGCGACGGAGCAAGACTGGTGTGTATGATTCGCGAATCAAGAAGTACCCAACGACCAGGACGACGGCATTGAAAGCACTCATGATCCAAAAGACCCACGACCAATGGAGGGAATGTGTAACAAGACCACCGATGATTGGTCCGAGAGCAGGACCAAGGAAGGGAAGTAGGGTCACCAAGGCCAGGGATTTGCCGCGTTCCTTCTCGCCATACATATCTGCCATGACTGGCCCATTGAGCTGCGAAGAATTAGTCATGGTAATGTCAGCGTTATTCAGTCTCATCACTTACCGTTACGCCCACACTCGCACCAGCTCCGGTCATAAACCTCCCAACGATCATCAAGCCGGTGTTCCTTCCCACAGGACACAGTGTATTCCAGGCCACGTACCAAGCGTTACATATCAGCCAGATTGGCTTCCTTCCCCATAGCTCACTGGCGCTTGCGATTAAGAACGGCGCGATGCCCATGCCAAGGAAGTATACCGACATGGTTATTTGGGCGGTAGAAGCGCTGATGGCGAGATCGGAAGCGATGGCAGGAAGCGACGGTGCGATCATACTTGCAGACATTATGGGTATCAGCTGGCCGAAAGAGAATGTAATTCCCATAGTGATCTTGCGTGAAGCTTGCCAGTTGTAAGGATCGGAGGTGTCTGTGGGCGACGCCCATGTTGACTAATTTTTTAGCAATAATTAACAAAAGTGAGACATTAACATACTCCGTAGTCATTCTTCAACCGAACAAGGCGGTCGTTAGTACCGTCAGCGGTCCAAGACGTTATCTCCGGGTCTTCCCCGTCACGGGCTCGATGCTCAGTTTTGAGTATGCCCGGGGCCACACTAGCAACAATTCCATCGAAAGCTTTCTCCGGGTCTTTGGAATGAGACATGTTATTGAACATTGTCCACTAAGATTGCATATGATCCAATAAACCGTGCTGCGCTCTGCGTACAGTATATACAATGTTCGCGCGGAGTTCGGACTTATGCTCTTATCAGATCGGAATCAGCTCAGGCCCTCCATGCCGATTGCTGCCTAGCAGGATCTGATAAAGTGTCAGTCCTCCATGCCGCCGGTGATGCTCTGACCTTCCTATTGCAGTTGGAACAAGGCTGGCAGAGATGCCAATGTGCGTTTACTAGTGCCCAGCTTTCATCGACGATGTCTGCCACTCTTCACCGCTACCTTCCCAACCAGTTGACCGGGGATGTAGTCGCATTCGAAGCGTAGTTGACGGACTCAGGTTCGGATACATCTATTGACGATGTCTCCGGCCTCTACCTTCTCCATTCCTCAAGACTTTGGCCACGCTCTACGTATCCTTCAGGGTCGATTCTGGTGCCGAGTGCCAATGTAGGAAACTTTGGTCGTCTGCTTCTGGTTTACTGGTTTGTGATTCGGCGGTCTGCGGGGCAGCATTCTATACAAAGGAGAAGAACACGGTTGGGAATATTTTGACAATTTCCTTCACCCTGGAGCCTAAATCATTGTAAAAAGAAACATATGCAAAGTTTGGTAGCAATAGAGTCTCCCGGATCAACTCGAGGCCTGCTTACAGCTAAATGTTCTTTCTACATCCTAATAAAGTAAGCTAAAACATGAGGATACAAGATCAATCAGGATACGAGGATCTCTAAAGTTCGGTTAAAGAAGGCGCAGTGCAGTTTCTGATGTTGTGACAACAGTAAGAGTTCTATCACAGTCGCCTGTACGACAGAAATTCGATCAAAGCCTAATAACACCAGGACTCATCGACTCGTCGAAGGTCTCCTTTCCGTAAAGCAAGAACTCCATGTCGGTGACATTATGTATGTCGCCCTGATTCCTTCTCCAGCATCCTTAACAAACATCATATCCTCTGTATCTCCTGTTGCCAGCTCTGATGAGTCTGACCCTCCGGAAACATACTACTAACCACCTGCCCCGTCTTCATATCGTAATGTGATCCTGGTGGCAACTGGTTATGCATGCCACCTGGGCTTGTACTGCCGCCTCCACTTCCTTCGTTCTGTCTCGGATCGAGGAACTGCCCATGTCCACTTACACCAGACCCTGGCCGTTGTGGCTGGGAAATGGATCGCTCGCGCCATCGCTGACTTTGCTCGTCTTCCCGGGTGAAACGCTCGTATGGACTGGGCATGCGAACGTCAGGCTGGAACGTAGCGGCGCGCGGCGGGGCGAAAGACGGTGGTTCCCATTGACTTCTTCCCGTAGCTTTCTCTATGTAGTACCATCGTTGGCTCCTTGTGTCGTACTCCTGTATCCAACCCTGTGGCACTGATGGTGCACCGCCTTGCGGAGCAGGGCTGCCGGGGTAGCCACCTTGAGACTGCGGCCGGCCTTGCTGTTGCCCGTGGAGGACCGGCATTGGGTGATATCCATTTGCACGCGGCGGCGATCTGGTTCCGCGTCTCTGTTGCTCGAACTTGTGGATCTGTTTGGTGATGTAGTTGTCTGCGCGCTGTATGTAGGTTTCGAATGACATGGTGGCGTTCGTCTCGTAGATCAGGATAGCGCTAGGCCCGTACCGCGACAACGTTAGACTAAACGAGTAGTAGACGATGGTAATTGTGGTGCGTTTCACACAGCCACAACGGGGGCTTCACGCTATATATGCTCTGCCCAATCCCTTCCCCACGGCGTGCGTAAGCCACTCCTAGCCACATGTCATCAGCAGCTCTCCATCACAATGCAGGACTAGCCGCACCAGCACACTGCAGAAGTCTCATCAAAATGGCGCCGCAATTTTGAAGCTTAGCATGGCTTCTATGGCGCAGGCCGCCGTGTGATTGGCCAAAGCAGGGGCGGTGCGGAAAGCGCGGAAGTGTGGCTCGCGTGAGGTGGCTTTCGCGCGTCGCTAATTTGCCGATTTCCGTGGCGCATGCGACAGCGAGGGATGTGACACCGAGTTTGCGTAGCACCGAAAGCTATCCGAAACCACAATTTGGCGCATACGAGATCGTGCGCGCAGTGCCTCCGAACCATGAAGAAGAAGCGATGAGTGTTGGTGTCTCGTCGCAGAAATCGTGCTAAAAGTCCATGTCACCATCCTCCCCGTGTCCCTAGATCACTCACCAAAAGGAATGGAAAAAGAAGCCTACCATTTGATGATAGTGCTTAGTCATCCCTGGTACCAGTGCTGTAGGATGAGCCGTCCGTTCAGAACTATATCCACGATTTGGTATCCGGACACAAGCTCCAGGTGGAGGCCAAACTCTCGGATGATGCGAGAGAGCCCCTGTTGATAGTCAATTCCCAGACCGGTTGGTCGTCCCAATTCCAGTAGTCCAGTTCGGCGGCATTGCGAATCATGCGTACCTTCGTGGGGGCGAAGATCACCTGCAAGGAGGAGCGTTATGTCTTGTGCGAATGCGAGTCCGATAAAGGCAGAAGGATCGATAGAACGCCTGTGTGATCACTGCAGTATAAGAATCTGGTTATTCTCGTTGGAAAAGATGAGATAATCGAACGGTGTGCCCAGGTAATGTCTCGAAATAGTCAAACTTGTTATCGTGCTCCTCGAAGATGATCTCTAATCAATACGCACAACGCACGACACTCCTGGCGTAGCCGAGTACGAATCAGGGCCAGACTGCAGTAGTCCTGCGCAAAACACATCTCCTCTTCGTATCGACATAGTCAGAGGAACATTCTCGAAAATGGTACGCGCGTCCGGCGTCAGCGTCCCCGATGACGGACCCATCGTCATGGCTGCATAGCTCTGATGGTAGACTTATTGGGTATTTCAAGATTACGAACACCGGATGAATGACCAGCTCCAAAAAAAAGAAAGGCTGGCAACAGGTGACGGCTCCGTGGAACCTGCGGAGGGTAGCCCGCTCGCGCGCTCGGATCGACGGCTGATATCTGCGGCACGCTTGCGATAGGCTCATAGCGACCAAACAACGTCAGTATCGCGTATTCATCTTGTTCAGTAGCTTTCAGTACATACCTCATTGTGTCTATGTGAAACGACTGCTTTTGTGAGGTATTTCGGGGGTTGCGTTTCGAGCTGCTCCTTGTTGCTTTGCTGGAAGCCGCCAGCATGCTTGTCGCGTGGGATTCACCCGTTATAGGTCTGGAGACATCTCCATGGTAATTCCAATAAGTATTATAAGTATTGTATTGACTCCCAGCGTTCGTTTGTGGGAAGCATGGTAGGTATTGTGCCCGAATAAGAGGGAATACTCCTAGAGAAGTCAGTCGCCGCTGGAGCCCACCAGGCTCTCAGCTAAGTGCAGCATACAGAAGTAGACCCAGAAAGTCAATGTGAGCGCTGGTCTGCATCGACGCGTCTGCTTGTTGTTTGGGTTCATGGCAGCTCATCGCGCATCGTGAGCGGCACCTGGATTACGTCACGGTCACATGCTCCTGTCACCCGATCTCGGAACGCTGCACGTCCACGGGTACCTGCAGTCAACTCAAGAATCAGTATTCAACTCCATATTAACACAACCAAAACTTCTGACACCGAGACGAATCTCTGTCACAAACTCAAATCGCCATATTTACTTCGAACCCTTGATGAAGTCGCCGCGCAGCCACTTCGGCGCACCTTTCCTCACAAAAATCATGTCGTTCTCCGTGTCCAGTCCAAGTGCACTGAACCACTCCAATGCATCCTCTGGTACATGCGGTAGCCTTGTGACTGATATTTTACACTGCTTGACCCAAGGCACTGTGCTTTTGGGATTCAGTACTAGCCTCATACCGAATACGCTTGGTTCCTTCAGCTCCACGCTCTTGAAGACGCCCTCCACTGCGGCTTTCCACTCCGCCTCATAACCAACAAATAGTTCGTTGAAGATCGCGCCTCCCTTGCCTACGAACTCGTACTCGAGACCAGGCGTTTGGAAAAGGCTTAGAAGCAGGGGACGGATTTCGATGGGTGTATCGTATTTGCCACGGCGTTCGACATCAGTGCGTATTGTGAGCCAGGCGCTGATGGTGTTGCGATCGACGGCAAAATTGCCAGATGACGGGTAAATGGTATCCAGGTAGTCTTGCGCATCGCGAATGTGCACCGATACGGCACGGTCCCTGAAGTACAGTTCGCGGAACTCGCGACGCGTTTGTCGTGACGCCTGAGTCAAGCTGTAGTAACCGCGCGCTGCCCAGAACGCTTCACTTGTTGTTGTGACGCTGCGCCGGCTGACGTGCTGCTCAATAAGGCGCTGCTTGTCATTCGCGGCAAGCGCGTATATCCTGTTGCGCACCTCTACGCGCCTGTGAGCTGAGAACAAGTTAAGCCGAGGTTGGTATGGTACCTTGCGGAAGGTCGCTAAAGCCGCGGCCCGCAGACCTGCCAGCATTCACAGTGGATGGGTTCGAAGACATTATGACGCTCATTGCAATGTTGCTATAAGCTTTTGCGCAAAACAAAAGCTTCCTTGGGAGTTCTAGGGGGTTAGAAGAGGTTGTGGAGAGATGCACATTAAGGAAGGTGAAGGGCTGAGTGTCAGCGTGCTAGCCGCATTAGGCAGGACGTAATCGTCGGCCGCTAGAGGATACGTAATTTGATTGTCGACCGAGCGACAAACGACGCATTCTCTCACACGTCGCCATTCTTCACTTCTTATTGACTAGCAGGTCATCCTCATCACGTAAACGTTGGGTCGAAACAGTTTGCCTTGACCCGACGGTCTACGCGCCCGGGGTGCCTTACCACATTCGCCTCCTAATCGTATTCGATCAATCATCAACTTCAACAACTGACCTGGTGCCGACGCACATTGAAAAAGATAGCGCAAAGGATTCTGTGAAGAAATCATCGACCGTAGCTTTTTTGGACCGCGAGATTTCGCGAGTCTAGATCGATAACGCGTCCTGCCATAACCGTTCACATCATGTCGCGGATTATGGGAACTCGTGAAGCCAAACTGCCGACACCGACAAGCCATCCTCGTTCATACTTTCGGTTGTATTGGTTTCTTCACTGGATTTCTATACCGTATCGATAAGGCGTCAGACCCCAGCTTCAGAGTGGCTCATTTTGTTGTGAAAGTAAAGGTCGCTGTCGAAAGCAGAGCACACAAGCTAATACCATTTATGAGGCCTCTGGACGGAACCAATCTTAGGTCTGAACGAGGTCAGATGTCAGAGATATGTATCGATACGACTGTAGCAGTCGTAGGACTGCTGGACGTTGCATCTCTGGTCGTCTTTGCTCCGTACAGGACACTACAAGACCGCTGGCGATAGAGAACATGCAGGAGGAGATGAAGCTATCAGACCAGCAGTTGCAGCAGGTAAAACTGGGAATGCAGAGGGCTTACTATCATTGAGCGATTGCGTCACTTCCCAGGTAACTTGCTCACTCACCACCAAGAAGCTCTGATTCTTTCACTACGATATCGGACCGCTGCCTGTGCTCAAACTGTTCTTCCGCCTTCGCGTTCGCCTATAAATAGCTAAGCAAAAACCTGACCTTCTACTGAACTTACTTTGTTGTTGATAACTGACGCAGCCAATCCCAACTTCTGTTCTAATTTACACAGACAGCAAAAACCCTCCGTACAACATGAAGCTGTTCAGTTCCTTGGCCATCTTGCTTATTGCTAGTCTCGTGATCGTCACTGCGGCGGTTCCCACTGTGGACGACGGCAGTACTGACGTCACGCCTATTGAGTACACAGGTATGAAGCATCTCTCAACGGCTTTTTGGTTTCCACTTACTGACAACGATAGATGTTACCACCGCCGAAGATTGTTGCGACTGGCGACCGACTTTGAAACATCACGGTGCTGCTACTGTGGAGGTCTGGGTTGGCCGTCCGGCCATCAACGGGGGTTACTACAAAGGCGAGGACTTGAAAGCGGCAGTCTGGAACATGGTGGACCATCTCTGTCCCGGTCAGCGTTTTCAATGCGACGACCCTTACCCAGGCCGCTGTGTCTGGGTTGATCACGTCACCAAGTTAAATCCTTTCCCGGTTGAGAGCCAGAAGAGTAAGCCGAATATTCCACGAGGGGTACGCAAACACTGATTTCTGGTCTAGCTACTCTTTGTATGGGAGTGTATGGGGCTTGGGAAACTGAGGAAATCCGTCAACTTCTCATAGACACGGTTGCTGCGGTTCTTAGTGAGTGCTTCCCTCTCCATCACCAAACAACAATCACTAACTCGGGTTTGATAGTCGGCTTCACAAACGATGCTTATACCAGCCCCAACTGCTACGAGTTCCCCGGCTCGATGATGTGCAACCTCCCAGACGGAGTTCGTGTCAACCTTCCCCCTCTCGACGGCGCCAAGGAAACACATACCAACTACCTGCACGTCAAATTGATGAAGGGTGGTAATGTTCAGCACGAATTCCATTGTTGCGAGACGCGCGACAAGGTTGATGCGCAGCTCGACACGCTATATGACCGCATCACCGGTATCTTCCATGAGGACTATGGAAAGTTTCGGCTGACTAATTGTATGGTTCGTGGCTGGACGACCTGCGAACAATGTTACGATAGGTTTGATCCTGAGAAGTGCAAGAGGTGTGGCAAAGGATGCCAAAAGCTAGATTAAGCGGTCTTGGGCACGCATCGAGGTTCTACACGCCAGGTCTTAGAATGAGGTAATTTCGAAGGTTGTTTTGGCAGCTAAGCTTGTCATTTGGGGAGCTTCATGGATGGGTAGCAGAGAGCGTTCAGCTCTTTTGTATCCTATCATTACCATAGAATCTCAACACTAAATTCATCCACTAGCAGCAGTTACGCATCCTTGAGGCCGTGATATAGATTGCTCAGTTGCTGCAAGTCGTGTTCTTAAAAGTGTGACTTTTGGCGCTATCTTGTATATACTGTCGTGCATTCCTCTTTGCAAGCCATTTTGTATGACAGAAGCATGTAATCTCTTGTGACCTCCGCAGCGCGCTCGTATCCACCGCCACTAGGCTCAGCCGTCTAGGCTGGTCGGGAAGGAACCCCCAACAACGCCATTACATTACCCCCTGCGTTATGCTCCTTGATCATCCTTGACATGACTTGCATCAGGTACGGGCGTCCCTCACCTGGCAAGCTCGCCTTGAAATGTTCGATCCACCGACCTGCGCGCTCCTTGTTCTGTGCAGCTTCTTCTGACGGGTTATCCGGGGTATATAACACGATCCGCAGACACTGCCAGACCTGTAATAGGTGGCGATTGATGTTCGCGCGGAGCTGGACGGACAGTTGCGGCGGTGTAGGGTTCGGGTTCGTATTGGAATCCTGAGGATACGACGTCGGATAGCCTTGGGGTGCGGGTGGCTGAGGTGGCGACATCTGCTGTTGAGGAGTGTGAGGAATAGTGTAGTATGGGTCCGGGGACGACGGGGAGGATTGCACGGGTGTGATGTCCGGCTGAAGCGGGGGTTGAGCATATACCTGGTGAGCTTGAGGTTGGAACTGAGGCTGTTGAGTCTGATGTACTTGTCCCATCCGCGCTTGGGAGCCCTCCTGATTTTGACTCTGCTGCGCCCTCTGCTGCTGCTGCAACTCCATCGCTGCCTGCATGCTGGCCATTGACTGGTTGACAATCATGGTGGCATTTTGGATGTTCGCGAAAGCTCTCGCTCGCAGATCATTATCTTGAGAGTCGCGCACAGCAGCCCCATTTTCGTGGAGGAGTTTGGCGATTTCCATGCGCTTGTCGGGGTGGAGGATGTTGTAGCGCGGATCGTGCAGTATATCAACTGGCCGGAGAAGAGGGACCTGCTTGCTCGGGTTTATGAAGTTGTTCAAAGCTGGGCTGGGAGTAGAGCTCTCAGGCAAACCGGTGGCACTATATGACTGTTGTTGGGGCAGCATAATGGGTGGGGGTAGCATTGGCGCTGGTGAGGTGAAAGGCGAGAGCATGGTTGGCTGGTGACGTGAGTTCATCTGCGCCAGGTTCTCATCGATATCAGTCGTAGATGATGAGCGCAAGAAGGACGGCTTTTGTTGCTGGACAACAGGCTGTTGATAGACCGGAGCATTCCTCATCTGCGTCTGTTGCCTGGTCATTCGCATTGGCTGCTGCTGCTGCGACGGGCTAAAGCGAACTGCTGATCCAGGCTGGGATCGGCGCTGCGATGCGTTCGACATGCTACGTTGCGCAATTTCCTTCTCGTGAACAGTGCGGACGCCCTGCGGTGGTAACAACGGATAGAGGGGACTGCCCGTCTGCGGGCGTACATCCAATCCGGGAGTAGTACTGCCGCTGCGTGTGCCACTCATATCGGTGTTAGCGAAGCCATAGTTTCCGTTTTGCAACTCTCTCATAGCTGCAGGCTCAAGTGTCTCGAGTCGTTCGGCGGTCTTGTAAGACCAAGATCGTGAAGGCATGCTATTGGTGTACCGGACCGGCGGGGGCGGATTTATGTAATATATCGCAGGGTGTAGACCAGGCTCCTGCGTCACGACCAGGCGCTCGTCGGGTCCATAGATGAAGTCGGTGTAGGCAGGGAATATATCGCAGTCGCGCTGCAGGTCTTCCCAGTCCTGGTCGTGGAAAGGCATTTCTGAGATTATCGGGTACCAATCGATACCAATGGCAGAGTGAGATAATGACGCGTTCCAGTGGTATTTCGGCGGTGGTGTTGGTAAGTCCTGTGCGCTCGGTAGCGCCTAATGGAAGGCGCGCGGCCGCCAAGGAAGGTGCGGTGGAGGAGCGGGATGGTGAAGGTGACTTCCGTACTGGGTTCGTTCGCAATACAATCTTCAGAGTAGTTTAAGAGCCGCCTATGTTTGCAGGATGTTGTTGGTAGCTGAGCGACTCTCTTTATATGACCTTGGGCTTCACGGTTCGGATCATCTCAATTCGTCCGCAATTGTCTCTGAATGAGCTGGATGTTTGTGGTCCCCATCGAGACATGCATAACTAGAGACATGAGGCGAGCGTAGAGAACGAATTCGGGAGTGCACTATAGGCGCATCTGGAGGATTCGAGCTTTTTGGCTGACCGAAACATAGAATTAAGAGTGAGAGTTATTTCAAATGTCGCCAGCTTACCAGGCCTTATAGTAGTACGCTTGAAACCCTGTTGCCATCCTACAGCTGGGTGGTCAAACGACTTCGATTCGATATCGCTCACAAGCGTTCTGACGATTTTGAAAATGTTCGGCGCGTGGGATCATGGTAGTGCAACCTACTACCTTGACACTACGGGTTTCTAGGATTCCAGCCAAGCCAACGAAGATGAAGCGGAAATCAAAAAAGAAGAATATAGTATTTTGGCGCCAGCGATACATGAGATGTGTGCCTGGTTGGATCCATCTCTTGAAGTGTGAATTGACGACAGAATGGAGACAGGGAATAAGTTGGCGAGATAGGTGGGTTTCCGCGATATCTCTTGTTGTCGAATAAGCGCAGACGAGATCTGGTATCAAGCCTTGAGCATCCGAATGATGGCATCTTTGGGAAAAGGCGAAGTATGTGGATGAAGACAGATGATGAAGCATGCCAGACGAGGTAGGTGTCGGCGAAACCATTCACCGAGACGCCAAAGAATGTCGCGCTCCCCACCACCCCACCATACTACCGTCGATCCCAGAGCAGAGTGCCCACGGTCTTTACATGGTTTCGTTTTCTTCTCTAAAACACCTTTCACTTCTATCTCAGCCTCCAAGATTTGGCATCACCACGATGAGCGACGATGCGACCACTCCCGAGCCAGAAACACTCGAAGCCCTGCAGTCTCGACACCGCAAAGAACAACGCGACCTCGTATCCCGTGTAACACAAAAGAAGAAACAAGCGAGTAAAAAGACACGGAAGGGTGTCAACGATGAGTGCGAGCGACTCGAACGCGAATTGAAGGAGCGGCAGGCGCATGAACTCGCCGTGTTGAACGGAGAGGCTGTGGATGCGGAGGAACAAGCAGAGGACCCACAAAGCTCTGGGGATAAAGCACAGGATATCCAAGAAGACATGTCCAATCTCAGAGTAGATGGCGCTGGTTCGGACAGCAAAGACAGCAGCACCAATGGCGATTCCACCGAGCCCAAGAAGAAGAAGCCGAACCGTGCCAAAGCCCGCCTCGCCCGTCGCGCCGCCGAACAAGCCTCCATCATCGCAGAAGCAGAGCGCGAAGCTGCCAACGCCCCGAACCCATGCGAACTAGAACGAGAACGCATGGCGACACAATTACAAAAACACGGGCTGGCGCTGCATGAGATACGCGCGGATGGTCATTGTCTCTACGCTGCAGTCGCGGACCAACTGCAGACACGGGAGTTGGGCCTGAAGCCGAGGATAGGTGTCACCATCAATGGACAGGGAGACCAAGGACTGGACGCTAAGCCCGAGGCATATAAGACGGTCAGGCACGCAGCAGCAGACTGGATCCAAGGCCACGCGGACGACTTTTCGGGCTTCATGGAAGACCCGTTGCTGGAGCATGTGCGCAAGATTAGGGAGACGGGCGAGTGGGGCGGACATCTGGAACTGCTAGCATTGGCTCGGACATACGGTCTAAGGATATGCGTGCTGCACAGCGATGGGCAGGTGGACCGGATAGAGGCCGAGGACGAGGTCAAAGAGAAGGAGGAAATCTGGCTGGGATACTACAAGCACAGTCACGGTCTAGGCGAGCATTACAACTCGCTACGCAAGGTTGGATGAGGCTGAGAGCGGTAATGCAAATACTGGCATTTACAACACGGTTATCAGAGATATGCAGCCCCTCAGCAACCTGCTACGCTCAATGCCACCTCTGCTCGTCCGGACAATCCGCCTTGTGCCGCCACATACTCACGCAGTCTCGTACGAGACCTTTGATCACGCCAGCATCGTGCGTCCTCCTGGGCGTATAGTGCGCGATCTTGACCAGCGCGTTGTCCGTCTCCTCTCTATCCGTCTTTGTCACCACGCCCTGATCGTCATACGAGATATCCTCACCTGGCTGCTTGAGCAGCTCAGTGTGTACAAGCGGCGGAAGCGACCACGGAGGGCCGCCAGAGGATGCGGGCTTATGTGTTGGGAACTCGAGACAGATGAGGACACCACCCGTAGACGGGGAGTTCGCGGTCGGGCGGCGGAGAAGCGTGGTCATTCGAGATGCCCACTTTGGCCTTAGTGACAGAGGAAGCGCGCAGAGGAACTACTTATCGCATCAGTACAGAACACCAGGCAATGTTCACGAGGCACGTCTGGGACTCTACTCACCGTAATGTCGTAGATAATGTCAAATCCTTCATCACCCTCCCAGCCCTCTACATCTGCCAACCAGCCGTCCCCAAAGAAATCCCCACATACAACATTCATCGTCCCTTTACCGATCTTCTCATCCGCCACCTTGTATTCTCCTTCCAACGGGCCCTTGCCAGCGTCCTTTAGATAACCCTTCGCAGCCTCAGCAGCATGCGAGGACACCTCCAGCCCATAAGCGTCATATCCATGCGCCGCGAAGAGCGCTACATCGTATCCCTTTCCGCACCCCGGCACAAGCACCCTCCTCCTCTTCTTATCGTCTCGTAAAGGTCCAGCGAGTGACGCATAACCCGCCGATTCGCTATTTGGTGGTGGTGCACCGAGTGAAGGATTTGGGTCTGGGGACGACAATGGGCGGCCACGCTCTTGCAGCAGGTCAATCAATGCGGGGTTCGCGTGGCCACGATCCCAAGGTAGGAATGTAGAATCTCTCCATAGGTCGTCCCAGCGATTGTTGTGTTCTTTGTCGGGGGTCGAGGAGAAGTGTGTTCGGAGGCGGTCTTGGTTCTGGGTTGCCATGACGTGGGCAATCTGATTGCGGTGTATGGCGAGGTCGATTGAGTTCGTATCGAAGACCAATGGCTTGACGGTGTCGTGGGATAGCTTTCGACAATGACGGAATGAGGAAGCCGAGGCCACGATGGACCCTTCCAAGCCATTTTGAGCTAACCCATCTTTACCCCGCCAAAACTTGCTCGCACGACAACGCCAAAGTGACGATAACGGCCTTGCAGATGCGATCGGATCCTGCCCTGTCAACCCCAAGGGTGTTTGCACTTCGCTGGCAGATGCACACACATAAGCATCGAACGGGCTGACTTCGCTGCGGCCCTACGACAGATACGACAGATCTACACCTGGCACATCCCGTGCCGTGAAGCTCCAATTACCCGGATCGCAAGCATGCTTCCTACTGGGCCCACCCTTGCTTCGGATATAATTAATGCGATTTGTTTCCGCATGGCAAACCGCCTGTCTCGGCAGTCACTTCTGCTTACTTATCGCCCAACAACTGCGTTTCGCTGGGTTTCGTCTGGAGTCATGGCCTGGTTTGACTTTTCTTCGCCCACATTCCCCGTGTTGAGGACACGCTGCGGTGTACATAGCGTACAGGTACGCGTTGATAGTATGCTGAAGAGCTAGAGATAGCGGCTGTCGACAACCGAGGTATTACGACGCGTACGGAAAAGAGCAGGTGCATGCGGAAATCAATGCAAGCTGTCGATTGACATAACCTTGTGAAGATCGGGACGTTGCGTTACTTGGCTTTCTTTCTTTCTTGTCGTTTTTGCAACGGGCGATGATGGCAGACGACGAGAAGGCAAGATCGCCTTCCGGGATGTTGAAACAGGAGAATGTGCCGGACCGAGGCATCGAAGAAGAGACGAAATTAGAACAGGAAGAAATATCGGAAAAAGACATGCTAGAAACAAGCAACCAAGGGAACGACGACACAATGTCAATTTCGTCATCACGAGCGTCAACGGCTTCAACGCACTCCACCAATGCCGACCAGCCGAGAACATCGAATACGAAGCAACGCCCAGTTACTCTGGCAAGAACCACCTCAGTTCTACCCGATGCCGTTATTGTTCCACGATCACAGCGCCGTGGACTCCTTGCGCGCTTCGCGCTCATCCCCGAGGTTGAGAACCCAGAACACTACGCGCGGCAAACGAAATGGCTTCTCACATTCATTGTCGCCTTCTGTGCCATGGCAGCACCGATGGGTAGCGCAATCGTTATGCCAGTGTTGCAAGAGATCAGCGTCGCTTTCAATGCAACGGAGACAGTAACCAACATGAGCGTTGCTGTGTACATGCTTAGCATGTCAATTTTCCCGTTGTGGTGGAGCTCCTTCTCTGAACGATTGGGTAGACGTACGATATACATCACCTCGTTCATACTCTTCGTGGTGTTCGCTATTCTCTCTGCGATCAGCACAAGCATCGCTATGCTGATCGTCTTCCGCGTCCTGTCTGGTGGTGCAGCGGCATCGGTACAGGCTGTAGGCGCAGGGACTATCGCTGATGTCTGGGAGACGAAAGAGCGCGGAAGGGCAATGGGCATCTTCTACCTTGGACCGCTCTGTGGACCTCTCTTCGCGCCCATCATCGGTGGTGCTTTGGGGTCAGGACTTGGCTGGCGATCGACACAATGGTTTCTGGTCATCTACGGCGGGCTGACACTGATCTTCATCATATTTGCTCTTCCGGAGACCCTGCATCGGAAAGAGAAACCCTCCGCGGACCCAACAGCCCTACCCAACAACGATGCCGGGAAAGAGCAAAGTACAGCGCTCGGGAAAAGCACCACACGTGCCTCCACTGTCCAGAAGACTAAGAGCATTTTACTACACCTACGCCACATCTTCATCGATCCACTGCGCATCATAGCATGGCTCCGCTTCCCGCCCGTCTTCCTAACCGTCTACTACGCCAGCATAACATTCGGCTGCCTCTACATCCTCAACATCAGCATCCAGTCCACCTTCGCCGCACAGCCCTACTCCTTCTCCACCCTCATAATCGGCCTACTTTACATCCCCAACTCCGTCGGCTACCTCCTCGCCTCACTCTTCGGCGGCAAATGGATCGACAGCATCATGCATCGCGAAGCCCGCAGAGCAGGCCGCTACGACGACCGAGGCAAGCTCATCTTCCGCCCCGAAGATCGGATGAAGGAGAATGCGTGGATTGCCGCTATTCTCTGGCCTTCGGCTCTCATCGTCTATGGCTGGACGGCGGAGAAGGGCATTCATTGGATTGTGCCGATGATCAGTAACTTCTTCTTTGGCATAGGGAGTATGCTCATCTTTGCGTTGGTTAATACCATGCTCACGGAGTTCATGCCTAGACGCGCTGCGTCTGGAATCGCACTGAACAACTTTGTGAGAAATATCTTCTCTTTCACCGGTGCGGTGGTTGCGGAGCCGATATTAAGTGCGATAGGAAATGGGTGGCTGATGACAATTCTGGGCATCTGGAGTGTGGTTACGGGATGTATGGCGCTTTATGCGATGGGCAGATGGGGCGAAAAGTGGAGAGAAGCCATGGTTAAGGTCTTGGGGTGATGGATCAGGATCTGTGAATGATTGTTTCGTAGTTTGATGACCGGTATCGTTCAGCATACTAGATGGTTGGCGATGTGATCTCAATAAAGATATCGAATCTCACACCACAAACGACGCCTCAACAAGAACTTCGTCTTCCTCGTCCAGCTCGCGCTTGATCTTCTCAGACTCGTCCAGTATTGTCCGTTCGATCGCCGCGTATGCGGAGCCATAGACAAGCCGCCGGTCGCCATTGTCGCTCACCATACGTAGTACTTGCTCATGCTCACGATTCATGTCAGTAGTCGCAGTGGCGATCTTTTCATTGGGCAGCCTGGCCGCAGTCAAGATAAGATGTGTGTCTCATTCGCCAGTCGATATACGCTGCCCGTTACTCGGTGCCATTGCAGAAATTGGTTTCACCCAAGTCACCAGAGCTCGCCGAACCAGCTTTTGCGATGTTGAAGCCCCGGCCGGTGTAATAGTATCCTCCACCCATTCGGCAGAAGACTCCCTCGCTCAGCCGATACTCCATTTCGTCCGCCACATGGCAGATTGTGTAGCTTTTGGTTTCGTAGCTGCGTGTTGTTGATCCTTCAGACTTCAAATATTTGCCGACGTTGGTGACTAGCGCCATGATGCGGTTGGTAGATTTTTGCGAAGCATGCTGGTTTATGCGGCGATGAGGGTGGCTGGTGACCCCAAAATACTTGAAGGGATTGTTCACGACCGACTGGCTACTGCCACTGTCAGGGTTGTGTTGGAGCAGATTTCGATCTACCGCCTCGCAAAACGTTTCAATGCGCTCGGCACGAATCTGGCGCCCAAGGTAGCGGTGACGACCTTGCTTGATCTCAGCAGTGCTGGTGTGTCCACGAGTCTGGCTGTCGATGGTGGCGTTCTGTTGGGCTAATCGGGGGTCTCCGGAGATGTACAGGCGTAAGTGGTCGATGATCAGCTCAATGTCCTGCTGGCTGGGAGGGTTGCCCTGCTTGTCGACATATGCGCGCATGTAAAGCGTGGGCACAAACTTATCAGAGAGCTCGCTGCCTCGCTGGGCCCACGGAGACTGGTCTGCAAACGGTATGCCCTTGTCATCATGCAAATTGACCTATCGCAACAGCGGAAGTGACAAGCCTCCAACCGTACTTGCTCTGCTAACGTAGGATTCGCTCGTGCGCCCCAGAGCCATGGCTTCCCCAAGCGGTCTCAAGGCCAATAAACCTTGGAAGCTTTGCGTTCGAGGATTGATCAATCTCGCCAGCCCGAAATCCGCTGTTCCAATCCTGGGTTACAATTCCGTTACCATTACAAATTGTGGGGCGATTAGGAGGACGCACCATGAGCGACCATAAGAGACAGCGAAGCAACGAGTCGGGTCTCTTCCGACCACGCTCAACCCGCCGCGCAAAATCGCTAGACTCTTCTAGCTTGCACTGGTCACGGCACGATGCAACTACTTCACAAGCCCATCGGAGACAGCTGCGGCGTCTCGCGCAATCTCCAGACAACCCCCTCCTCTATCTAACTACCATGACACCGTTTCCTCTTCTGGATACGAGATCATCGTATCGCGTATGCTCTCTCGGCATGCCACGACTGCCAGTACACACAACTCGGCATCAAGGCTTCCGCGAGTGGCTAGCCGGCGGCCTTATGCTTGAAGTTCACCAGATACTGCGGAAAGCCTCGGTTCGCTACTACGATGTCGAAGTAGTCATCCGAAAACCGTTCAAGACACCCGGTCCGGACAGCGAGTACCATAAGACTGTAATTGCTTTAGCGGATATCTCGGTGGCAGATGACCACGCCAACTGGGCCATCGCAGCACGAACGATTCTGGAGCGGTTGATAGCCCTGGGACGCGACGACATAAACGTCGAGACCACGGACGTTGAAGCCGCATGGTCGTTCAATAATTCCGTCGTCTTCGACGACGAAACAGCATAAGCGTGGCATGATGTCCACATGCAAATGATCGAAGAGCCTGGCGGAATGCAATGGAACAGTATTGATGTTCTTAAAAGGTCTCTGGGCCAAATTAAGCAAACAACTTCGCCAACTATAAACATCACAGCCTCCGATACGAAGGACCCCAAGTGGTGGAACGAGGCATTGCCACGTTCGAAATCGAGCTCATACACGGCGAGCCAGTCGTTGGTCACAACACGACACCATTCGATGAGGACAGTCTAGGTAGATATATGGTAGAAAATAGCTCATGATAATAGAGCTGATGTACTCTATCAGCTCATTCTCCATCAGCACGTGGAACTTGCGCATGATTTCCTCATCAGCTCGGCGATGGACAGTCGAGCCATGAAGAATTTAGGTCATCAGAAAGCTTCAATGATTGTCTATGCGACTAGATATACAGGGTACTTTCAGTATGCTTTCGAGTTCGGGTAAATGTCGAAGTTAAATGAAACCAAAAAACGTATTTTAGGCCTGGAGCATACATTGTCACAAACGTCACTTATTTGTTAACATTTAATGCTTTGTATGCGGCAACCTCGTATCAACCCACTGTGTCCGTCATTTTCGATTCACCCAACCATCTCTCAATTCATTCTAAGTTAACACACGAATGGCAGCGCAAGGCATTCCCTCCGCGATTCGCTCCGTCCCTGACTAGATGGTCTCGGTTAAAGGGAGGACACCACGAAGCTCCTTAAGGCAGTCTTCCATTTCTGACTTCCATCTGCTTTGTGTAAACATGAGCAGCATGAGGATATTTTTGCGAAAGGTTGATATCTCGCGATTATCGGCAGTGGTTGCGAAAGTAGCGACCCGGTGATCCAACATCATCTGTATCTTCTGCTCGGGACTTTGGTCGTCGAATTCCTGCAGGGTATCTTGATCAAGATCCTTTCCTTGCTCTTTGTATGCGTCGATGAAGGCACTGATTGTTCTCTCCTCTGGCTCCAGATAAAGCTCAGCCGCTTGGATTAGCATGCCGCCGTACCAATCATCCACTGCTACCAGCGTCTCGTAACGCTGCGTGATTTCCAACTCTTCATTCTTCAAAATGGAGTCGGTTTCCTTGGGTAGCTCTTCCAATTCAGTTATAGCCTGTTGAAGGAGGACCGAGGCGGCCCGCGCCTTCCTGGCTGGCGGAACGATCATATGAAATAGCGCAGTGGTATCCTCTGGGGCGGCGGAAGACTGGTCATTTAGTTTCATCGTCCACTCCTCGAAGGAATCCAGGGGCCCAATATCGTCGAGGCTGGTCACGTTGGCCTTTGTTGTAAGTTAGATCGTGCTAATGCATTCGCGAAGCATACCTTACGTAGATATTCTCTGATTTGATGTCTAAGAGACCCTGGGCAACCATTCTGTCCAACTCCTCCATCTGGTTGGCCAACTTTCCCACAAACTGAGTCACTTCATCCGCACGTTCCTTCTGGTTTAATGACACTCGTTGCAACTTCTTTTCGATATCGGTTCCAGCCATGCTAGTGGCGTCGTAGTATTGGCTCGGTTGCACGTTGATTCAAAGCGGACTTCGGGAGTGTGAATCAGCTCAGGCTCTGTGCAGAAGAAAATCGCAAGCTTTATTCAAATCGGGTGCGCGATGTCCATTGTTTGTGGTTTGGGCGCAGGGACCGTCGCGTTCAAGCGCTCCTCAATTGCTTGCTTGTTCATGCTAGATCAGTGATCACCGGCTGAGTTGGAGTAAAGCACACCTATGCGGTGGCAGTTGTATGGTATCAATAGCTGTGCCAACGCTCGCTCTGGGTTCGATGGGACTGTGACTGTTTGCGCCTATGCATGGCTACAGCTCTCATCGTAACTGCTGATGGAGACGATGCGACTGGAGTACCCATACTCTGGCAAAGTTTGCGATGGTTCTACAGATGGACCAAATAGCGCGCAAGGTGATATAATATCAACCAAAGGTGTCGAAGACGCGATGAGCAGGGCGCATTCTGGTCTGACTTGGTACGGAGACATTAGGCTCAGAGCCAGAGTCATCCTCGACAAGGTAACGAGAAGGGCACACTGTGGTGGTCGAATCTGAATGCGGGAACGACTGCGGCACATGATAGGGTATCGAGAAGATTGACGGATATGGGATTGGGTATGGCGTCATGTAGGCTGGGGCGTTATAGCCATAATCACCTCCTTGAGGCACTGAGTAGCCATATGCCACAGGCATTGGTGTCTGCTGATACCCATACTGCGCAAATGGGGGATACTGGAGACTCTGACTTGACACTGGGGGATACTAGCCAATTTCTGTCTGCACAACGACAGTCCCGTCGGGCAACCTGAGCACTTGTTGCATCCGCGAAGATGCTTCGATACCTTAAGTGTCAGAAGGGGTGTTGTAGCGGGGCACCACTTCTATTCCTTCATCTGAGCTGTCTGCCAGGCGCGCAGGCAGGCGCTTGGGAGAAATAGCGTTGGATATGGGTGTTGTGGCTGGTCAATGTTAGATAGTGACACCGGTGAACCGAATTAAGGGTTATGCTGCTTACCAGACATGTGAGCCTGTCTATGAGAGAAGCGCGTGAATGCCTACCTAGATTAGGGACAAGGCTGACACAATGGTGCGATGCGATGATTGAAACCTGAGTACACCAATTCGACGACGTTACGCATTTGCTACTTCTACGCTACTTCCATATGTATGTTGATTACACGCGCAAGTCATGGAGAGAGAAGAAGAAGCAGAACTAAAACCCAGTAAAACCAAGTAGATAGACCGCTTTGATGACGAGCGATAGACTGACGCAAGTTGTAGTCAAGGACTAGCAAAAGTGAACAAACGTTTTAGAGACGAAGAAAGCCCGCTCAGACGAGCAAGAGATAGTCAGTACCCGCTTGAAAAAGCAACTGATTGACTGAATGAACCGAATGATGAAGACGTGAACGTGGCTCGAGAAAGCTATGACAAGCAAGATAGTGATCACATCATCCAGAAGTCCAAGCTTTGCCAGGAAGCCGAGGTATCGCGCTTCGGGTATACAAAGAGCATCGCCTCGCTGTAGCCATCCTGTTCGTACATTTGCAGAAAACAGCAGACGCGGTTCGGGGTTCTTTGGCAGGTCGCGCAGCAGTAGGACGGATCCTTTCTTGGCAGTCCTCCAAGCGTGCTTCTAGCCAACACTGTGGTGACCATGCACTTGACCGCTTTCAAAGACCGGGTTTGGTTCTCTTTGGCCAGGTATCTGGCATAATGCATCCTTCCTAGATCCGACTGGCTACATTCAGCGACTATAGCAGCGATCAAGGAGTCTGCAACATGTCTAGGGAAGTCACGAAGTCGCCTGTACGTGGGCCTTCCGCCATCACTTGCGGGGACTACAAAGATATACTGTACGAGACGAGCCTCCCGACTCTTCTTTGGTCTAGTGCCCGTACGCCTTTTGTTTTGACGGGGTAAGGGTTCATCGTTCACTCGCTCATCTGACGATGCTTCGTCGCTGATGGTATTTTGAGTTTGACTTCGTTGCGAACGGGCTTCACTTAAGCCTTCTGAAGCCCTACGGGATGCAGATACGTTACCTGTGAGCTCTCGTGAGTGGGCACCTGCAAGCCGAGAGCTTTGGCGAGATTGTAGGCGTGGTCGATCGAGTCGCCTTGCTTCTGACTCTGCGTCAAGACCTGACGTGGCACCAGGTGAGCTATCAGTCATGTACTGTCGGGGACGTTTACGCGATGAGGCTGCATCATGATCTAGCGGTTCGAAGACGATACTCTGCGAGCCGCCCGACTTCTCTGTTTGACCGAGAGGCTCTGGAAACGGGGGAATCGCTGTTCTCAAGCCGATGATCTGGCTAGCTGCCGGTGAGCTTTGCTCTTCAAGTCTCTTGGTCCGATCTTCCTCCTGCGATGCTGCTGATGAGGCGTGTTGGGCGGGCCTGTCAGATGGGAGTAACTTGGGTTCAATGCTCTTCTTCTCTGTCTCGAGTTTCTCATGTTGAAGCTTGGCCAGCTCCCCTCTGGTCCTTGTAAGCTCACCTTGAGTCCATGCAAGCTCCTCTTTGGTCCGTTCGAGCTTTTGTTGGGCCTTGAAGAGAGCATCGGCATCAGCCTGAGCCTGAGCTTTGGCGTTGCCATCCACGTTGTCTATGGCTTTCATTATAGTTTCGGGCTCAGCATGATTGTCCTCGATTGGCATATCAACTGACTCCTCTTGCAACTCCTCGGTAGCGGACTGAGTGTCGATGAAATCGTTCCAGTCATCATAAAGCTGGCCCACCTGCAATTCGTATTTGCGGAGGTGTTCCTGCTGCAAGAACTTCCACAGATCCTCGCCAAGATCTCGCATCTCGCTTTTTCTCTTGTCCTTGGCTTTGCGGAACCGCTTTGTGACGAAGTCAACGATCATTTCCGCGTATTCACCTAACACACGTCAGTATGGTGCATCTATGGAAAGACTTGAGAGAGCTACGATGATCTCGCCGAGGTCGATCAAGCCACCAATTTGCTTTGCTGGCTGGGAAAGCCTGATCTCGATATACTTGGTCGACGTTGTTCTCTTGATAAGAGTGTGTGGGTCTAGCGTCTTTTCTATTGTCAGTGGCGGCCTTAGCGAACATGCGCAAAGATCGCTCACCTGGAAACTGACCAGGACCAGTCTGATTAACGAAAGTATTACCAGTGCGAAAGCCGAAGTCAGACTGGTAGTCTTGGCTAGGGTAACCACAGCTAGGTATGCCCACGCGCTGAGTGAATTGACCTGGGATGCCCGCAGTCTGAGGATACTGGCCTGGCAAATCAAGAGACTGGATTGACTGGTATCGGGGCCTCGTCTGTGATGTAAGGTCTGTTTTTTGACGCATTCTTTGCGCATCGAATGGCGAGTTTGTCTTATCCAAGGCAGTGCGCGCTTCACGCGACGCGCTTGACTGTTCGTGTTGCTCGAGTGGCGGAGCCTGCATGGTTTTAGCTCTTCCTGCAACCAAACAACAAGGCGCGGGTAGTCACCATAAGACGTGACAAAGCGGACGCGAGTGAGTGAGCTGCGACAGCAATATGTGGTGGCTGCCAAGGCTCGGGACGCCCGTGCTAGCGCGGGAAATGGCCATACTGAAGTTGCAGACTGAGCGCCACGTTCACTTTTGCAGTTGATGAAAAGCGTGTTTAGGTAGGTAGTATTGAGTAGAGGTACCAAGCCCTCACGTCAGTTCTGAAGTTAGGAGATTAGGCATTAGCTCACGTGTTGGAAATATCGAAAGCAGCTCCTGGGTAGGAAGGCTTTAGAACAGCCTATAGGTCGAAAGACTCTGCGTGGAGCCCAGGACTTGCGAAGTCTTCCCAGGACCGAACGAGCTGACACACTGGGGCAATGCGATGAGAAGTCCCTAGTACTTGAGCTTCGATAACGCTATATATACGCTATGTATCTGGTACTTACACGCGTACGTTGGTATCTAAGAGAAGTTGTGGAGATGAACAGAAAGACGACCCGTCTAGGCCGCGATCATCTCAATCGCGTCGAGACTGATACTGGGACTCAAATATCCCGTAGACGTCTTTCCAGAAATAACAGAGATCTTCAGTATCTGATACTCCCTCGCGCTCTTCACCCACGCACTTGCCGGCACACTGTACTCATAAACGCAGTTGTTGCCACGGTAGGTTCCAACAGTCAGACTTCTGGTATCGCCCTGACCCTTGTCTGACTGCAAAGCAGCGGTCCAGCTGTTCACGGCAATAGCCGGTCTTCCACCAGACATGCCCTCTGTGACACCGATTCTGATCTTTGCGCCATTGGCTAGTTGCGCATCGCTGAGGCGGAAGTAGACGAGGTGGTCGTTGTTGATGTCTTTCCACATGTAGCCGGGGAAGTTGGCAGCGGAGCTGGTACCCACAATGTAGTTGCTAGCATCCCATTTGGCGAGGCGCGAGTCGGACGGGTGCATGTATGTAGGCTTCATGGGGCTGTCGCCGAAGTTCAGGAAACCTTTAGGTGTACCGTCCCATTCGCCGATTCGCCACATGACAGCCGTGTCTGAAGGATCGTTGCAGGTGATCGTGTTCAGCGCTACGGTGCCTCCAGCAGTGACGGTAACAGTGCTAGTGTGAACCTCGAGCTCCTGCGATATCGGGTGAGTTCACATTGTATCGAAGCGCTGACGGTTGGCTGTACTTACACCCTTATATACAGTCAATGTGTACGAGCCTGGCAGAATCTTGCTAATCCTCCAAGAGCCGGATGATGCAATTGTCCAGTATTGCGCTTGGGCACTCTTCAGACCGACAACATACTGGTAACCGCTCTTTACGTTGGCCAAACCAACGCCAGCGACGGCACCACGTTGACTTGCCGGAACCCAGCCATCGATTCCAAGGGAGTCCATCCAGTCCCAGTTGGCGTTGCGAGCAAAGAGAGCGTTGCTCGGTGCGGCACCGCTATCCGTGAAGTGGAGGACAGAGGGACCTTGCAGGCCAAAGCGCATCACATCAGTATGGCCTGTAGCACATTAGCAGATGCTTTGGTCTAGGCCGAGAGTGACTTCACGTACCCATGTTGTAGTGGTAGATATCATAGAGATCTGGGCCACCACTACCTCCGCGGCGCACCAAGCTTCGGAAGAATGGCCCACCCGACGCCTTCTCGTGATTCGACCTAATCATGTACATGCCGACGTTTCGATTGGTGTATCCAACCCAGTCGTAATCCATAGTGCGGCCATACAGCTTGCCGGAGTAATGTTTGGACCATGTCTGGCCGTTGAGCCCGTTGATGTCACCAGACTCGATGGCAGTCGCGCCATCCGGAACCCAGTCCGTGTCTTCGTTGATGTTGTTGGTAAAGATGTTCGGCGGGATGCGAAGGATGTATCGCGACACAGTGATGCTGCTGTCTTTCTTGTTCATGAAGATATAGACGTTGGGGTTGCCATAGCGGAAGACAAGAGTGTGAACGAGCGTTCCTACTTTCATCGTCACCTTGATGACGTTGGTGTATTGCTGGATGGTAACGGTGCCGGGTGCGAGGCCAGATTCCACGTGCGAATTCTTCCCATTCTGGCCGTTGTACTCAACGCCACGGTACTTGATCGAGGTCAAGTCGGCGTTTGACTTGCTGACCTTGACGACGAGATTCGCGTTCGTATCGATAACATAGTTTTTGCCGTCATCGGTGTAGCCCCAAGCTGCAAAAACAGCCGTAGGGGCCAGAAGCAGAGCAGTAACGGTCGCTAAGAACCGCATCTTGAAGACTGACTGATGGAAGACAACGAGCTAGAAACCCCATGTGGTATCATTGTACAAGACGGCTTTATAGCAATGTATTTGCTTTCCCACGTGTGCGCGCAGATGGCTACTACACACCACTACAACACCATCTTTCCCGGTGGTAGTATTGTAGACTTCACGTTAGCTTCCCAGATTGAGCGTGCTCCGCCATCAGGATAGAGCACCTACGCCTTGCGGAGTAGTGCATGGCGCTGATTGTACAGGAGCCGAGCATGGGTATATATCTGGCCAGCGTTTGTAGTACTACTCCGAGCCTAGCACGTCTAGTACCCGCGTGCGCACCATATCATTGGTGGGGTTGGCTTTCGGTGTTTCGAAGCAAATCCGGGGAAATTCTTGAAATTAAGAAGGAAGCTTGGTAGGCATTAGCACCGCCGAGCGCACAAGTGAGAAGGCATCATGGGCCATCGTAGAGGTAAAGTGGTGCGGAGAAACTTTGTGCAGATGTGAAGCGGGGACCATGAGGTGGATTGAAGATGGATGGGCTTGCAGTAGTAATGGATGAGGGCGAAAGGGAAGGGCTGTTTCGCGGGCCGAGGTTACGCCGATTGGTGAAGTTCGCAGAGCCAGACCCCGTGATTCCGCCCCTCATGGTAGGCACATGCCTTCGTGATGCACAATTTCAACGTTTTCTTCTCGACACAACTTGTACAAGTCCACGCCGAACATGGCGCTACATCTCCTTAAACGACAAGACAAGAAGGTTTCGACAGATACTTTGGACCACAGATGTCGGAAACTTTCAGGCGTCCAGGCACATGGCGCTGTGTGCTGGCGATCCTGTCGTAATGTACGAATGCCATGCTTTTTCTTCGGCGCGAAGTCAAATATGGTTTGCATCCGAACAAGTTTGGCTTTTTGTGTCAATAAGTACGAGGAAGCTTGGTTTTGAGCGCCACAAGGTTTACTTTGCCACCGTCACACATGCCATGTCATCGCAGCCCGCAACGCATTCCCAGCCTGACACTCAGGCAAGCACGTCGTTGACGTCCAACAAACTTCAAGTTGTCAGCGTTGGTCCTACAGGATTCCACAGAATGAAGCGTCCTGACTCACTTCTCATCCTCACGCATACGCGTTCGTAGCAAGTCCTTCCCCTCGTCAGGTTGATTCTTGACCTTGTCAATCGCCTGCTGTGACAGCGGCTCCGGCAAAGTCCCTGCATCCGGCTCAAACCACTTCTCTTTAGGCGTCTTGCTACCGTCGGCGAATACAGGATTCGTCATTTGCGCTCTGAAGTCTTCTGGAAAGCGGCTCAGAAAAGTTTCGATGAGTTCAGGTCCTGTGCGACTGGATCAGTACTGGAACCCCCCGATAGGTAGGATGCTTACTGAGTCCTTCCGCAGAGAGCACTTTGCGATCTGCAGTTAGCGAGCGCAGAACGCCGTCGTTACCTAGAAACGTGATACCGAGGATATCGTTCTTGAAGCTTTTGAGAATGCGCGTGACCTCCTGCTGAAGTGGATCGCTGGTGTCGTAGGATGGCACGCATCTCGAGGCGGACGATGTTTGTGCAGTACTTGAGTCGGGCATGATGTTCAAAGCGAAGACAGGAAAATAACTTTTGATCGATTTCAGGGTATAAAAAACACAAAAGGGTATGATGCCATGAGGCCGCCCGTAGCGACTGCAGATGAGCGTGGCCCATCACTGGACGGCCATGTGCTTACAAACAGATCGTCCTCCCGAGAAAACATTACAAGTAAATGGGCGCTGAACCCTGTTACAATCATAAATAGCCATGACCAAGATGGCATACAGCTCGAACGTGAAGTGCAGAACGTAAGCACTAAGCGCAAGATGCGCATTCGCCCCAAACATTATCAATTCGTCATTATGACATCCGAGGCGCCCTGTCGATGGACATGCGAGCAGCTGCAATATCCATAGACATGCGGGGAGCACGGCTGTCAATGGAATGCCTCGACAGCTGGTAGCTCATGCGCCAGTCAAGCGGCAGGCGACCTTCGTTTGTGGTACGTCGAGAAGCGTGGCCGATAACGACGTGCATCTCGAACTTGTCCAATCCAGTCTTTTGCAAATACGCTTCGTATCCCTCCGACTTGGAAGCCCGCTTCATCCACTCCTCACTCACCGCGGATGGGTAGACTACGCGCAGCAGGGGCTCGGCACCACGGAATCGGTAGTATTGTCGGATGTCGTCGTGGGGAAACAGGTGCAAGTCGATCCTCTTCATCGGCCCGTTGACTGCGGTAAGCCAGCTTTGGTTGCTGTTGGCAAGGTTTGGCAGCAGTTTGTTGAGCTCACCAACGATCTCAGAGATGCTGCGGAAGACAACTCCCTCAGTGGAGGTGAAGCGACAATCGGTGCGACGCGTGCGTACGAGGCATCGGATGAGCGGCAACAGGTCAATGGGCTCCATGTCGAAGCACGCAGCATCGATGTCCAAAGAGACATGGCCCTTGAGCGAATCAATCTTGACCAGGTTCGACTTCTGGCTCCACAGGTCGATGATGTAGTGTGCCTTCTCCGCGTAGATCGGTAGAAACTCCTCGCGAAGCTGGTGGCATACCTGCGTAAGGTTGTAGTATTGTCTCCGCTTGGTCGGGGTGGCTTCGCCTTCGCGTTGGACCAGTGCTGGATCATCGTGACGGCACATCCTGATGGGCACCTCCTCGCTCATGCGCTCATAGATGCGGTTTCTGATCTCTGTGTC